ATCAATTTTAAATAATCTTTATTAGAACTGTTGGTGAAAGCAAACCCTTTATATATATATATAAATAATATTTCAATAATCAATTGAGAGAACCAATTATATACATTTTGTATAAAAAGTATGTTATCTATAATTATTACATTAAATAAGGTTTAGTTTCAGAAGCAGAGTCATACAGTATTTAATGGGATAATGCTCTAACTTCTTAGAATAATCTCATCATATAAGGTCGCTGAGAGCTTATAAAAAATGTATATAATGAAGTATTAGACTTAAACAGAATATATGATAAAAAAGATGTTTTATATATATTAAAATTTTAAAATTTAAATGTCTTAAGATATGTTTTAAAGTTAAGTTTGTTTGACTTACTTTTGTTTCAGATAATGAAACTTTGATCTTGTAACCGATTTGAAAAGATTAGTTCTTTTTTGTTGTGTATTATATGCTTTTTTTTATTAGTGCTTACTGTTTTACAAGTACATAATTGATTAGGAATAAATAATTTTTCTATACAATATCTATATCGTTACGATAGTTGATATTGCTTTTTATATAAATCGTTAAATTTTGTTTAACAATAATTCCCCTAACTTACCGAATTAAAAAAACCTTTTTTGTTTACTTGATATAACATTTGTGATAAATTTAGTAGAATTTCAATTGATTAAATTTAAGTTTGTTTCAGTTATTTTTTAAATTTTTTTTCTAATTTTTCACAACTATGTATATAGCATGTATAACTAAAACGCGACTAACTGAAATAATTTTTTTTTGTTGCGTAGTAAATACATACATACATTTTTACATAAATTTATTTATGTTTACCAAAATAATATAAGTCGTTGACATTTTGTAATAGTTGAAGGTAACTTAAAAATACTTAACAAAAAAAATATATATGAGTTCATTAACTTACACATAATTTTAATATAAACATATATGTACGTAGATATGTATATGTTTATAGATAATATTTATGGATTTACGAGTATATTGAAATAATAAAATAATTATTAAGTACAGTATTTGAACTGATTTCTAATTCAAGTTAGATCTAGCAAAAGTAATTGTTCACTATTTTCCTTGCACCTACCTTATAAACTAATAAATTTACGTTTTTAATAGAAGCTATTAACGTTTTAAATATGTAGGTATGATATATATAAACATATGTATGTATATACACTTAAATATACTAATCGAAATATAAACATAGATCCTAACTACCTTATAAACTAATAAATTTACGTTTTTAATAGAAGCTATTAACGTTTTAAATATGTAGGTATGATATATATAAACATATGTATGTATATACACTTAAATATACTAATCGAAATATAAACATAGATCCTAACTATTGTAGTATTTTGTAAAAAATTTCGTTTCGTATATACATATAAATGAATATACATATTCTACCATTCAGTAGCTTGTATCTCCCTATCTTATATGGCGATAACATACAAATTTTTAATGATTTTTAATAGTGATATATATAATACAATATATACAGGATTTACTATGGAAACTTGCCGTACTTGACAGTTTACAGTAACAGAAACTTATTCAAAAGTTTTTATACAAGGAAAAATTTCGCAATCATATAAAGCTAAACTAGATCTAAAACATATTATACGCGTATCATACGATCTCCATTCATGATCTTGACAACTTTTTGACAATATTCCTCAAAAAAAAAAAATACTCAGGCATATGAGTACTTACAAAAAATACAATAGCACTAAACGTAATATTTAAAATTCTAAAAGCTAAAATTAGATATTTTTGTTAAACTAAGATGAACTAAAATGTAAACGATTAAATAGACGATTAAATAGTAGTGAAAATATTATCTGATTTGAAAATTAGTCACTATACTATATACGAGTATTTGAATATGATGCATAATCAAATGTCTAAAGCTTTTGCTCAGTAAATCTAATACTATAAGCTCCTCAAGGATCATATATAGTTAATAAATAAAGCTGCCTATAAAACGCAAATTCCTCAAACAAACGACAAAAAAAAAATATATATATACGTTTGGCTGTAACACACGGGTGTCTATATATTAAGTGTTGATATAATTAACCAACTTAACATATTTGAAAGAATACTAAGAAATACATCCAGTTTTGGTGAAGTATTCGGAAGTACACTGGAAACAATATAACAACGAATTAGAGAATATAAACAATGGGGAGAATACGGTTAAATTTGTACAGGCACAGTGTATTCTGCCGATGAATCATATTAGACTTATGACTTATAGCATTTCCAACAGAATACCATTCAACAGAATACCGTAATATGTATTGGATACCAGCAGTGAAAATTTTGAATGTTTGAATGAATAGTTGTACACACAACTATTGTTGATTGACCATGGACCATGTGGTGTAGACAAAAAAGGTGAAAAGAGAACTCATAAAGATTTTAATATAAACATTTATTTAAACAATTATGTTTCTCTTTAAAACCTTAAAGTTTATCAAATCTGCACCTATTTAAATAAAGCTTAGCATTCATATTAAATACTATTCATACTTTTGTGGATAATCATAAAATATATATTTTGATTGTTCAGTTTATAAGGCAAATAATAACATACTTACTTCAATAAATTGCTCAGTTCTTAAAACACAAGTATTTTAAACATTTCATTCATCTAACTAAAATACTAGAAACAACTATACTGAGTTGCAATCGACTAAACAAGGAATTGAAGGATCAGTTTAATAAATAATTTAGATTCCTATGGATGTAATTATTGATAAATGTATATTTTAAGCCATTCGATATGCTGATAAGATTTATGTATGTAACTAAATTAATTTATTAAGTATTTACAATACTTCAGGTACTTATAATTATTTGACTTTAGATAAGAAATTATAAGATGTTTACTAGAAGATAACAAACAAAATAAGATAAATTTAATTAGCCACGATTTTTAATAAGTACACTTAACTTAAAAACTAGCCGTAACTAACTGAATAGTTCTTAGTTGATTTTCAAAGCATATCTCTACTAAAATAATAAGTATTATTTTCAACAAGCGTATATGTATATATATATATCTCTCTTGTTCTATATATTTATATACATATATGATTATTTTGATAATATAAATAAATATCATACAAAATAATAGTTTTTTGTAAGTGGAAGATAGCGAATGGACAATGATTTGCAGTAATCTATGAGATGCATTGATGTATCACTGGAGAAAGTCTCTTAATCCGGACATAGGTTAATGATATTTAAAAACAATATAATATTTCCTATTACAAGTTTAGATATCTTTTTCGATTTAAAAAGACACGACATTTCTTTTCTGACTTTAGATTACGTGCAGAGCAGATGGATATATCACTCTGTAAATCACATCCTTTAAGCCCATAATACCTTTCTCTCCTTAATCGAAAGTACAACTACATACGACTTAATAATTTTTATAATGAGATGATATTTACCTACATTATTTTTTACTAACAGCAAATGATAGCACAGAATATGTTCTAACTGCAAAGAAGGCTATTAAATTGAAGCTTCCATTTTTATATTGGTTGCAAGTGATCGAGAAGTGAATCCTATTTAGGAACCTCACTCTTAGCATACTAATATTTATTAAAATTATATTGCTACTTATTAATATCAGTAACAATTTTTATTTGTAAAACATTAATTCTTAATAAAATGGAATATAACAAATGAAGCGTGATCTATTAATCTAGTATAGACAGTTATTTTTAGTTCACCATTATTAACACTTACATCTTAGTTCCAGTATACAAACACATACTAGACAAATGTTTATGATCACAAAAAATGAATCTGCTCTATTACAATTAGCAAGTATATTTTCTTTGCTTCGATTACAGCACTCTAATACTCACTGATATAAAGTGAAAAAAATGGAATAAGGATCTAGTAGTCTGTTATTCTGATAACGACATATATTAACAGTTGTACTTTCTTAACTACGTTCACATCAAACTTAAACTTACTGAGATATATAAGCGGTAATTTACAAAAATAATATTTCAGAAGGATGATATTGATTTTAGACACGAAAGCGATATCCGATAAACTCATTTCAGATTTTATTTTCACTACACTCTATATCATCTGCCGCGTCAATTTCTGTTATGCATTGTTAATATAATCAACAGTACTATGTATGGCGAATCTATGTACGGCACTAGATGGCGAATGTAGTTTTTTTATTAGTTTAATCAATTTAAAAAATTTAAACAATAAATAACGATATCTTGAGAAGGGCGTCAAAATAGTCTATTATTCGAATATAATCCGTGAATCCTAGGAAAATCTGAATCGTATCTGATTTTACGAAAATAGTTATGAAGGTAAGTGTTGAAAAAATCAGCATAAGATATAGCTCAGGTATATTACCATTTGGAACATAATAGATTGAACTTACTTTCGGCATGTGCTCTATGAAAGTGCAATATTATAAGATTTTATATACTTTTATTTTGTATTTGTGTAAAGAAATAAATAGATTTGAGGATTTTTTTTTCATAATATGACTCGAGTATGTTATGTTAAATTATTATATATTTGCATACTCATTTTTAATATATGTTTAAAACTACTTCATAACAAATCTGTTCAAATTGATTTATTATATGAAATAATATATTAGGAACACAAAGAATTACAAAAAAAAAATTCTGTATAATTAAAGCATTCATATTTTTTAGATTCGCATATATTTGGATTATCTATGTTTTATTAAAAAATATAAAATATTTTTTGAAAAATAAGTAAATACTAAAGTTAGAAAAAAATAATTTAGCTACTGTAAAAATTAAACATTTTTAAAATGCCTAATCATTCTACTCATCGTAGCTTCTCTATCAGAATTGGTGAGCGACGCTGATATGACTTGACTCGCCAAAAAATCGTATAAAAACATGTTAAGATCGAATACGAAGTCAGTACGAAAAGTGAAATCATAATGAAATAAATGTTTCAAAAATAAAACTATTTGTTTTTTAATAAAATGGCGCTGGTGTCGCAATTATTTTCCACAAATTTATTTTCGCATTTAACGGAAGTTCTCGCGGTATCCGTTGTGTTCTTGTCGATAGTTTGGCTCTGGCTACAACATCACTACAGTTATTGGAAACGTCAAAATGTGCCTTACATCAAGCCATTACCATTATTTGGAAACTTTAAGAATGTGATTACTTGGGATGTTGACATCTGTGCACATTTCCAGAACTTGTACAATCATAAAAATGCTATCGATCAACCCGTTGTGGGGTTATTCATGTTTAATAAACCTTGCCTGCTAGTGCGTGATTTAGAAATCGTAAAATCAGTGCTTATCAAGGATTTTAATAAATTTTCAAATAGATTTGCCGCATCGGATCCCCACTCAGACTCTTTAGGGGCCAATAATTTATTTTTTGCCAAAAATCCTAAATGGAAAGAGATACGTGTAAAATTAACACCAGTGTTCACAAGTGGCAAAATGAAACAAATGTTTCCACTCGTTGAAGAGGTAAGTTCGGTTTAGAGAATCCCGGAAATTTTAAAAAAAATTTATTGATATAGAATTCGAAAGAAAAAAACGAATATTAACATATTAGTAAATAACAAAACGTATATGTAGTGAAAGTATATTTAGTATATATATATATGCCTCCATCAAAAGTATATGCAAAACTTCCATCAGGTAACATATTACTCTAATTGATGTGATCTGATTGATGTGAAGAAATGTACGATAGATATTCAATTTTTATATTCTTTAATTTTATTTAGCTGAAGAATAAAGAGTTATAATTTATTATTATAATTATTTTAAAAATATATGTTATATATTATACAAAAAAATATATAAATATAATATCTATTATACATTATTATTTTATATAAAAATTATAATAGGCTTAAATAACAATAATGTTATTTTGGGTTATCCTTACAGATATTATCAAAAAGCCTCATCAGTATTTTTATTTGAAAAATACATTGTCCGTTTATATTAGACCGCAAATGCAAAAACTGAAATCACACTGTTTTAAGTTTCAGAAACACATAACTATATTTTTTAACCCATGATTTAATAGATTACTTCTCTGTTAATTTTTTTTAAATTTTATAACTTTATTTAAATTTATTTAAAATTTATTTGGAATACAAAAAAATAAATCGTGAAATAATGCTATAATTAAAATTAAAAATTTTAACTTTGCTTTAAGGATTAAGTTAGGGAATAACTAACATGAACTAAGAAAAAAGGAATCTAGGTAGGATTTACTACCTATTTTAAAATGTAAAAAAGATACATGTTTGGAATCAAATTTGAAGAGATTCCGGTAGACCAATTGGGCTCAAATTAGATTCTAATGAAGGGCCATCCCAAGAATAGATTTAGAAAATACATTAAAACTATAGAACTTAGAGCGCAAAAGATTAACTATGGTCGCGTTGCTCTGCTCTTTCAGGAACCAGTATCCTGTTTATTTATATTCTATAAAAGACTAATTTAGAACGAAAGAGGTGAACATATAACAATTAATTCATTCTGTTTTCATCATTTCTTCTTCTTGCCTTGTCTTCGGTGTTTTCTACACTCAATAGCAAAGATCCTAACAAACTCAATACACGCTTTCTTAACAAGAGAGAGAAAGTATGTATGAAGTACAAATTGCGACCTATTATCATGTTGTAGGTTACTGCTTGCGTCAATATCATTCTAAAATTATGCCAATAAAATACCAAATACAATATTATGGAAATTATTATTTAACAATCAAAACAAGCGTACTCGTATAGTTTTTTATTAATATATTTTTTAGTTAAAGCTCAAGGCTTGAAGTTCTTTCATTTAAAATTATAAATTGCAAAACATCACAAGTTTAGTAGATACGATTCGAGAAATGTGTATAATTAAGTCGCAGTCATCAATCACTTTTAATGATGAATTAAATAATCAATTTTTTTTAGTTATAATGTCTTATCAAAAAATATTTGCTTACTAAAATGAATAACTTACAAATTGAAAGTGTGCCGAATATGATTTTATTTATATTACTTTTATTTTTTACTTTGTATATAAGTTGCAATATAATTATTTCGTTGAATCAACAATTCTAATTTTCTATTCCACTAACTTTACAGGTCGGACGTGAACTTGATAAATATCTTTCCTCTCTACCTATCGATCCAGAAACAAATGCCATTATGAAAGAAGTAAAAGACTTGAATACTCTCTTTACGACAGATGTCATAGCTACGGTTGCATATGGAATACGCGCAAATAGTATGATTAATCCTGATGGTGATTTTCGTACAAATGGTAAAAGAATATTTGAATTTACCAGACGCCGTGCTTTTGAATTTACTGCAATGTTTTTCATGCCTAGCATAGTGAAACTGTTTGGTTTTAAGGTATTTTCGAAGGACACTACAAACTTCTTACGTGAAACTATTAATTATGTTATATCGGAACGTATAAAATCGGGTACCACTCGGAATGATCTTATTGACATACTTGTGAACTTCCGTAAGGAAGCAGAAGCTAGCAAAGATAAGAATCATTTCATTTTGGAAGGTGATTGTTTAGTGGCACAAGCTGCTATTTTCTTTTCTGCTGGTTTCGAAACTTCATCATCTGCAATGTCCTTCAGTTTGTATGAATTGGCGCGCCATCCAAAGCTACAAGAACGCTTACGAGAGGAAATACGTGAAGCGTTTCAAAGTAACAATGGCGTAATAACCTATGACATAATAAAAGATATGAAATTTTTACATAATGTCGTACAAGAAGTGTTACGTTTTTACCCACCTTTACCATTCCTTGATCGTACATGTACGCTAAAAGAAGGTGAAGAAGGATTTTCTCTTAATCCATATTGTGATTTTGCTGTACCCAATGGTATGCCTGTCTACATACCAATACATTCGTTACATATGGATCCCAAAGTAAGGATATAAATAATATTTTTATTATTATGAAATCGTTTAATTAAATTGTTTATTTTCATTCTAGTATTTCCCAAATCCAAAGAAATTTGATCCCGACCGATTTGCTCCAGAAAACAAACATTTAGTTAATCTAAACGCGTACCTGCCCTTCGGTACAGGACCACACAATTGCATTGGTGAACGATTCGGGTTATTGCAAGCTAAGATTGGTCTTATATATTTCTTGAAAAACCATCGTGTAACACCGTGTGAGAAATCGTTTTCAGAAATGAAACTCAATCCTCGTGCACTGATCATACAATCTGATGGTGGAATTTATTGCAATTTAGTGCGAGATCCTTTACTTTAGAAAATTTAAATTTTCTGCTTAAGTTTAATTTTTGTAGTTTTTTGTAAATATGTTAATAAAACCTGGTTTTTTACCTTACTATGTAATCTTATAGTTATTTACTGTGATTATTTTAAATTACAAATATGCTTTGTTATTTACCTGTAATTTATGCAACTATATTGAGAGTGTGATGTAGCACTCTATGGTCAAGGACTTCATCATAATTTAGTATCAATAAAAAAAGGTAATATGTGTTTGTATATTTTTAAATTTAAGTACGTGTTAAAGGATTTCATTTCATAGCAAAATTTAAATTTATTAATCCATAGAGTTAGCAAAAAGATGCTATATATTATAGTTGAATCAAAAAAAGAGTACTTACACGGTATTCCGGCAAATCCGTATTTGACAAAATCTGTTAGCTATATATCTAAAATTCATTATTTTGATTCTACGTTATTCATGAATTAATAATCCTTATCAATTCGCAATATTTCTTATAAATTTTCTAAATAACGTAATGAAACATGCTTTCATATTAGATTAGGTGTATTTATTATTAATAATTTTTTTATAAGAACTCAAACAACAGCTATTTAAACGATTTGTCTTTTTATGCGCTACATATGGACATTAAATCAACTATTGACGTACCCTATAACATCGATTATGTTGATTCATATATAAACATAATTAATATATTTATAACTATTGCAATATAGGAATTATAACTGAACCTGACTGTATACAAATGTTTTATTGATCTAAAAAACTCACGCAATTCCTTAGGGAGAAAGACAAAGACGTTCTGACTTAGCTTAGTTCTCAATAGTTACTAATTAATAATTTTTTGAACTATCGTCTGCTAATTTACTTAAAAGCAAATAAATGAATAATAATCATTAAGGAAATCACAGCTTTTGAATTTTAGCTAATTTGTCAGCTAAACCTCGTATCAAAAAACAAAGCAGCTGGGATTCATTTTCATCATCCTCACTACATCTACAACAGATATAATTGAAATGGAAATTTAGTCTCCTGGCTTGGTTACCTAAAATACAATGACCTGTAAGTAAACCTATTGAGAGACATATATCTAGGAGGTATCTCGATTACTTACTTTAAAAAGAAAGTGTACACTATAATATATGACGTTTATATATAGTAATTAAATACTAATACTATAGCAATAAATATGTATATTATAATAGACCTTGGTTCATAATTAACTCTTAGGTATATTAAAAAAATATAATATTTTTTGTTTTATGTATAAACATAATAAGAGAAGTGAGAACTTCCTTTGGCTTCACAAAATCCAATTTATTTATGTCTTTCAGTAAGGATAAAACTCCACTATAAAAATAATTCTTGAATAAATATTGGTAAGATATCTCTAAGCTAAGATATCTCTAAGTCTAATTCAAAATATGTTAAAAATGGTTGATAGAATTCGAAGAGTGATTATCGTTGTTCCGTATTTTCGCTAGATCAAGTTTACTGTGGCGATAGCGAAAGTAAATATCGATACATTTTGATGTGTATACTATTTTAAGGAACTTGGACTTGAACTCTTACGAATTATTTAAAGTACAAATACTTACTAGTACTTGTGTTTTATCAGTATTATAAAAAAATTAAAAAAATGTTTTGCATTTGTTTATAAACAAGTGTAGTCGTAGATTAGCGCCACAAAACTTGAATAAGTACAAAAGACCTTGGTGTCAACAAAAAAGTCAGTTGATATTAAGGAGTATAGTAACATGTATGATATAGAGAACTTAAACTGTGTATGTATGATATAGAGAACTTAAACTTAAACAGTTTCTTTCTTCACAAAGTAAATATCGAAAATATCTTTTAAGTACAAATATACTCGGTATCAATAGTAAAGTACAGTAACTTATATGTACTTATATCGAAACATTCCTAACGATGTTGTTAATAAAGAAGCTAAGTTTTCTAATTACAGTGAAAAGTCTTTTAACGGACACCACTTATGAGTTTCTAAAATAAAATGTTTGCCTCTTATTATTTGATATAACTTAAATCTTGATCTCTTGAGGCCTCTTGAGGCTCTTTCATTATTAACTGGGCTGGATTGCTTGATCCATTTTGTCCGTTTTTAGCTACAGGGTACTTTAAAAAACTTTATTGCAAATATTTTCTATTAAATTATTTCTGGATCATTTTGAGGTTATTTTTTATGGCTTATCGGAAAAGCTGCCAATAGTTCGGCTAAAACTTGACGAATGTTCATCAAGATGTTTTAATATATCGGGATTTGAATGATTGTTTGCATAAATACGAACCTCAAAAAAAAAAAATCCATTAGTAACAAATCGCATGATCTTAAAGTATAAAATTACACTTTCGTGTAATTTTTTTTCACAACAAAGCTCTAATACTGCGGCTTATGTTACCGTTTCATTAAAACCGATTACATTCCAAATTCAAATTAATAATTATATGACTGTAATGGTTAAACTTATATTACACAGCCGTTATATATTATAAAGTACGGCCTTATGAACAAATGCTACACCATATAATGACTTTTTGTTAAATAAGATTCTCTTAACAGTTACCAGCGGATTTTAACTGCACCGGATCTAAAAATTTATATGTTGACAGATCCACTAAGGAAAAAATGAGTTCCAACATTGAGAGCATTCGTCGCCATTTTTGTAGTAAGTTTTCTTATTTTTAACATATTCTGCGGTTCTGTGAAATAACAAACTTTAAACTAAGGACGTGTGCGAGTATGGCTAAGTTGATGCTAAACCAAATGGGAGATTTTTTGGGATTTTTTGCACTGCACGCATTTAGCCATTTATCAATACGTATCGACACATGGCTATATTATCGGCATAACTTAGAATTTCCCTCATTTAGAACGCAACTTAGCCTAACTCGCATACGTCCTAAATATATGATACCATTTTGGCAGCATTTTTGAAAATTTATTACTGAAATAGTGGAATGATATATATATGGATAACTATTAAAAGTTGATTAAAATAAATGTAGCAACAGAAAAAGCACATTTCGAAATAACTGATTAGTTCTGCCATAACACACATAGCATAAAACAATATAATTCACAATTTAAAAACGCCCTTAACAAAGAAGTATTACAGGACACCGGTGCATCATAGATAATATTTTTTTTTTTTTTGATTTTTTTTGTTTTTCGATCCGCCAAAGTTAAAGCTATTTGACTCTAAAAACTCTATATATAGATTATAAAGTATTTATAATACAGTTGGAAAAATCTATGTTGCGTTACAAACACCTTAACAAAGTCAATATACCATATAATCATATTATTTTGAAGAATGTAGAAGAGATTAAATTAATATAAAAATTAATTTTATTCTCTTGAATTATCATTTCTTATTGACTAAAAGACTCTGCTTTAAAATTTATACTTCTCATACTTCTCTACCGAAACTACCAATGACAGTGCAAAAACATTGTTGTCATTTGGAGCAGAAAAGGTTAGTGATTTTTAATTTGGACTGATAAAAATTTGTTTTGCTTAAACATTTGCAAATCGTATTCAAATGCTTTGATAATCAAACGATGACTTTCAAAAAACAATCTATAATTTTGTTATAAATTTGAAGAGATTTAGTATACTAAATACAGTCCGGTGTGTGTAGTACGAAAGATACTTTAAATTTTTAATTCTACTAAAAAGAGTCAAATACAAATATTTAATTTAAATAAATTTTTCAAATAATATTCAAAACTTTAGTACAAGTAGAGAGAAATATAAGTTAAAGTTAATAAAACTTGATGTTTAAGTTTAGTTGACATCTTCACTTTAACTAAATGTGAGCACTTATTTAAAGTATAATATATTTTAATAAAAAAATTAAATTTAGAAATTTATAAGGGAATATATAAAAACTGAAAAACTAAATGTTTTTCAAATTAAATAAAAATACAAATGAATTTGTTAATACAACTTTCACAGCAAAATTAACAAAATTCTAGAAAAATGTGCGAACATAAAAGTCAAGTACGTGTTTGGGTCAGTTGGTTAAGGAGCACTGACTCTGAACTTCAAATATGGCAGGACAGGAGTTCGATTCCTGGTACTTGCAGTCTCAAAAAATAATTATTTACGAATATTTAAATACAAGAATTATTTCCAAGACCACTGATGATGGGTATTTGGAAATACTCGAAACAGCTGTATGGTCAGCCAAAAATTCAATTAATTAAAATAATATAAAAATGAATTTTTGTTGTTGTAGTTTACTACTGTTCAAAAAACCTCTTTATAAAAATACAATTAAATAGTACAGAAAAAAAAAATCTTAATTCATATAATAAATTAACTTTATGGAAAGGTTTTTATGTAATTTCTGTTTTTTTGAGTTAAATAAAAGCCGGCATTATTATCATTGTTATCATTATTTTGATATATGTGAAAGTTTTTAAAAAGTAATTATATTTTTGCAGTGATAAGAGAAGCGTGCCAATTACTTTGCTTTTTTACAGTTTAATAAAAAAATTATTTTTGTTGTTTATTAACGATAGGAGAATTATTTGTTGTTTTGTTGTCGACGCAACGAAAATGTTAAAATTAAACAATCTTTTTAATCATTTCTAATTAAAATTTTTTATTTTGATTTAACAGTAGTAAAAAAAACTATTATACTATAGACAAAATATTCTTATCTAGTCTACCGTATAGTATCTACACCTGCGCCAGTGATATTTGTTTATGATTATCACTTGTCTGGCTGACTACTTAAATTGTAGTGCCCGAAATTAAATTATCGTAAATATTTGGTATAACTATTTTAAAATACGTAAATAAATAAACGTGTATGTTATGCAAATAATCAGGTTATTGTTAAAAAGTTTTGTTGATTTTTATTGTGAGATTAATAATTATCAAAATTAATTCGGACTATTCCCGCGATTATATTGTTCTGACTAGTTTGGTTGGCTTTTATTCAATACCATTATTACAAATTAATTTATTATTATTGCTATTCATATAATTAAAATTTATAAATTAAAGCCTTAATTTTACCAAGCTCCCGACTACTAAGTACTACATTAAAAAAACAAATAAAAAATTCTGAAGAAATTTTTGATCATTTCAATACTCAATACTGAGTAACTTTTTCCACTACGGTAAACGCATGTAAAGCTTTTTCTTCTATTCTCAAAAATTGTAAAGTTCTTACATTATTGACATTAACAGAAAACTGTACCTGTCATCTAGCGAGAATTAGTATACATATGCCATTTTTATATTGATTAGACACAGAGGGGTCAAGTGGTAGACACGCCATCTGTTATTGTTATTTTGTATACAAAATTTGCATATTTTAAGTCCGATATTTACAGAACTAGGCTATATAGACATATAATAAAGTGAAAGGAGTTTTATAGAGTATTTTATATAAAAAATATGTGGCATTCTGAAAAACTGCAACGTACCGAAATTCTAAATAAATTTTAGTAATTTCATACATAAATTATAAATTCTTCACTAGAATTTCCCTTTTGCGCTTTAATGTATTACTATTAAAATAATTTATTTTTTTGAATTCATCTCGGAAATTATTTTCGAAGTCTGCGCTAATTACTTTAGTAAATAATAAAAATTTTAATTGTTTATTTAACTTTTTAACAATATTATACACCATTGAACTTTATATATATTTTCTATCTTATCTTATACTATATTCTTATAGCTAAAATGGCATCTGCTGAGGCTCTGTTCCTGATCACAGCTATAATTGGCTTAATTTATTTTTGGGTCAAACATAATTATAGTTATTGGCAACGTAAAGGTATTCCGTACTTAAAACCGATTCCATTTATTGGTAACACTAAATCAATATTAACGTTGAAAACGAGTATCGGGTTGATTGCGTCAGATGTCTATAGTGATAAAACATTGAGCGATGCGGCCGCTGTAGGAATATACAGTTTCCATAAACCTGGATTAGTTATACGAGATATTGAATTAATAAAATCAATTTTAATCAAGGACTTCAATAAATTTTCAAACCGTACAGTAGCTTGTGATCCACATAATGATCCACTAGGATCGAATAATTTATTTTTCGTTAGAAATCCAGAATGGAAAGATATCAGAACAAAACTATCACCAGTTTTTACAAGTGGTAAAATAAAACAGATGTATCCACTTATGGTTGATGTAAGTATTAAATGCATTGTGCTATATAAAAATACTTATATTGATTTTGAATTTATTTTTCAAAAAGATTGCAACAGAATTGGAAAATCATTTGACATCTTATAAGAAAACCAATAATTCCTTTGTAACGGAAGTGAAGGAGATCTGCGCAAATTTCACTACAGATCTTGTCGCCACCATAGCATTCGGTTTACGTGCCAACAGTCTCAAAAATCCAAATGCCGAATTTCGTCATTATGGAAGAAAAGTATTTCAATTTAATTTGTTTCGCGCATTTCATTTCTTCGTTATAATATATTTACCGAAATTAGTTAGCTTTTTCCGTGTAAAGATATTTTCTACAGAATGTGCAAATTTCTTGCGTAAAACTATTAATTATGTCATATCAGAACGTGAAAGCAGTGGAACCACTCGCAATGATCTTATTGATATTTTGGTATCCTTGAAAAAGGAAGCTCCAGATGCACAAAGCCTATATAGAGCTAACAATAATGAATTCTTAGTGGCTCAAGCTGCTGTATTTTTAACTGCAGGGTTTGAGACATCATCTTCAACAATGTCTTTTGCACTTTATGAATTATCGAAGAAGCCAGAATTACAAAAGCGTTTACGTACAGAAATTTGCAATGCATTCTTGGTTGAAAACGGAAAAATATCTTATGAAAATATTCAAAATCTTCAGTATTTGGGAATGGTTGTAGATGAGATTTTGCGCATGTATCCTGTATTACCATTTTTGGATCGCGAATTTAACAAAGCTAAAGATGAGTCAGATTTTACTCTACAACCATATTACAATTACGCATTACCCAATGGCATGCCAATATACATTCCAATATATGGAATACAACGTGATCCAAAGGTATAAAATAATTTTCCTATATTATAAACTTTTTGATTTTACATAATTTTGATTTTAGTATTGGCCGAACCCAGATGTTTTTGATCCAGAACGGTTTTCACCAGAAAACAAAAAAAGTCATACTCCCATGACATATTTTCCATTTGGAAATGGACCACATAATTGTATAGGAAGTCGCTTAGGATTACTTCAAACAAAACTTGGTTTGGTACACTTCTTAAAAAATTATTTCGTTGAACCCTGCGATCAAACACCATCTGAGATGGAGTTCGATCCTAAAGCTTTTGTACTACAATGTGTTAAAGGTATTTACTTAAACATTGTAAATGATCGCATGTACGACATAAAAGCGAATGTAAAATAGAAAAATTAATTTATTTGAAAAATAAGATGTATTTATTGTGTATGTTTATTATATATTGATATGATCAATCACTGTAAAAGTGCAATCAATTAGACATATAACAAATAAAATCAATTTTTTACTGTTTATTGTTTTGTTTGCTCATCTATGACAATTTATTTATAATTTAGTTTTTAAGCATAACATTGTTATTTTCTAAATCTTACATATATAAAAAATAATTTTCTAAATATTACACATTACAACATTGTATTCATGACATTGTTATTGTGCTATATGCTGTCAATTTTTTAAGCAATTGGGTGGGGGTCAGAAAGAGGCTTTGTGGTGAATATAAGTGCCTAGGAATAACAGCATAAGAGATTAGTTATATGAATATATACTTTGCTACTCATGATCAAACATATATTATTACGACTCTTTGTAGTTCAGTGATACGAATCTCTGGGCAGGATATTATTGGCAACTAGCTAGATGATGAAGCTGCAAAATTGTCAATACAGTTCTACACTTTATACATTTATTAGCATTTCCAAAACATAGTTGGAAACATTTAGACAAATGCTTAACAAGACTTGGATTTGACACACAATATATACTGCCACACGCCATGGAAGAACAAAACTCATGTGTAGCGGTTACACTATCCAGGATCATTCATCCATCAGATTTTGTAATGATGCAATTGATCACGTTAAATCATTTATATATTTGGGCAACATCATCACGGATAAAAGTGGTGCTAAAGAAGACGTCAGGCCCCGACTGAGTAAAGCCAAGTCAGCTTTCGGTCAGTTAAATAATGTGTGGAAGTCTAATTAAATAAGCATTTGCACTAAGCTTCATATATTTAACTCGAACATTAAATCAAGTGTGTACTACGGATACGAAAAGTAAGAAAACTCTGTCTCTATTCAATCGCGTATTCATTAACAAATATGATAAATTAACAAAAAAAAATAAAAAAAAATATGATGGCCGTAGCGCATATGATACTGATTTCTGGGAACGCACGGAACAAATCAAAAGAAGAAATTGGAAGTGGATTGGTCACGTGCTCAGGAAAACATCAACCTTCATACAAAGCAAGCCCTACGCTGAAACCCATACAGCAATCGTCAACCTGCTAAGACATGACGAAGAATCGTGAACCAGGAGCTTAAAGATGCACAGTACTTCTGGAACCAAATAACGAGAGAAGCAGACAACAGAATAAGATTTGGAGGAATAGTTGAGGCCCTATATATATATGTGTGTGTGCTCCACTTATATATTTATATAATCACATCACCCAATTTTAAGTTCATTTAAACAAAAGCCTAATAGCGCTACAAACTATTTTTATTTAATTTACTATTTAATTTACTATTACTATTTATATAAATAATTTAATAATTATATTAATAAAGAGCTAAAGCAAATATAAAAAATATTTTCCAATCTGGATCAATAGAAACTGAATTAACAGATAAATATTAATTTGTATATATGTTAAGATGTCGTAATTAAACTAGAGATCAGATTTCGGTCTTATTAAGCTATTACATATAGTATTTGTAACTTTTTCTGTACATTATAGTTATGTATTTAATTTGGATTAATTTTAATGCTTTAAACATCGGTGCTGAGATTCATAGTAAAATATACCAAAATTATAAATCCGCTTAAGGACAGTATGAATCATGTAGTTCAAAAATATAAAAATGCCTAGCTCACATTCGATTTTTGACCAAAATGAAAAATAATATATAAGATCTTTTGTAGTACATTCTTTGAAAATTAATTCATCGGAAATATAGTACTCATATGCTAGATGTGTTTTGCGGGTGAAAAATAATTTATAAAAATAATGCTATCCTTAAAATTTTTATTTCTTAATAAAATTTAACACTAAATAAAAATATGAATACATAAAATAAAATAAAATGAAAATTTGGGAAAAAAAATTTTTTTTTTGAAATTTAACAGTTAATTTTAGTACTTAAATGTGAGCAATTTTAATCGTTTATACTATTTCTTAAAAGTTTAATAAATTATTTTTTAAACGAAACAAATTTTAAGTTTCTCTCATTTATATAGCCTTAGATATGGCAATTTGAAAATGTGTACACAATGCTAATTCTCAAAACCCGATGGATAAAAGACCACATAAACTGCCATTTATTAAATAGGTTAATGTCAAAATAAAAAACATATGGGTCATTCTTTTACAAATCGGACACCTTTTTTACCTCATGATCTCCGATTTCGCTGAAATTTTTTTTATGAGTTCCTTTCATAAAATAAGAAGACTCGTATCTCGTGAAAAAACTTTGTAATTTTCTTCCTAGGAGATATGGACTCATAGGGTTTTGAGAATTGGCATTGTAGTCATATTTTTAAATGGCTCTATCTCAGGCTCTGTTAACGGTAGAAACTTAAGATTTGCTACGTTTTGAAGATGGTTAATTGAGGTTTTAATAAATTGTTTAAACAATTAAGATTGTTTATATTTAAGTATAAATATTAACCGTTGAATTTCAAAGAAAAATTTTTTTCAAAACATATCCCCAAAATTTTCATTTTTTGTATTTTATTTAGAATCAGTTTTAAATTTTACTAAGAAATAAAAATTTTCTAAATGGCTTTATTTTTTGAAATTTAAAAAAATTATTTTTCTCCCGCAAAACACATCAAGTACATGCGTAATATACTTCCATTGAATTATCAAAGAATATACTACAAATATTCTTATATAATATTTTTAATTTCAATTAGTAATAAAATTCTACATAAAACCAAAAAATTTCAGGACGATATTGTCCTTAGAAGTACTTTTAAAAAATTAATTTATCCTTCACAACACACTGAACACATACACACGATTTTTGACTAAAAAAAAGAGGAATATGTCATACAAATTTTTCTTCTTTAGTTTTGATATAGGTTAACAAATATATTTTACTTAAAAAATAAATATTCCAGTGTGATACTCCTTTTAGAAATAATTAAAAAAAATTAATTTATCAGACGTCCTACACATAACTCATACGCACTGTAATACCATTAAATCAATTTTCCAAGAAAAACGACACAAAAATGTTTACTTTTTATTTCTGAATTGAATTTATCATTAAATTTTATATAAATATACAACTTATTAGGACGTTGTTATTCTTAGAAGTATTTTTATTAAACAAATTAGTTTTACATCATATTTAGTTTTTAATTACGAATTTGAAATTTTTAATATTCCTTCTGGTGACTCTAACGATAGCGATGAAGAAGATGACAGGAAAAATTTAATGGCACAGCAGATAGAACTATTAGCGAAATCGGAGATCATGAAGTCATTTTTTTGCCAAAATATAGTTAAAATGATTACATAATTTGAAGATTGATTAAAATGAAGATACACAAGATACTTACGACAAGAAATGTGGAATATATAAGTAATGTTTTTGACTAAAAGTCAAAAAGTTGAAGTTTTAGAGGGTAAATAAAAATTTTTTTAGTTTATGAAATACGAATTTTTGTTTTTTGCTACAAATGAATATATAAAAAATTTTGATTATAACGTCCTTTCGCTTATTCCTGTACTTCCTATACTATCATAAAGACTTTTTTTTCAACTATTTCTAAATATGGCAAGGGAAAGAGGCAAGAAAGGGAATTAGAGAAATAACATCTAAAACAAAAATGTCTATCTATTCATTGATTGCAAATTAACTAAAATTGGGTCATTCTTTTACTAATTGGAAGGATGAAAATGATTTTGGCCAAATCGGAGGTGATGAGGTCAACAAGATGTCCGATTTATAAAACATTGACGTGTTAACGAATTTCGTATTCGAAATTATGAAAATAAAAAAAAATTTATTAATCCTTTAAATCCCCAATTTTATATATGAAATGATATATGATGATATAGCTTCTAATGCAGTATTAAATCAATGAATTAGATATCGATTAATTTGTCTAGATATAGTAGCAGAAATACTTCCATTTTCCAAAAATCGTCGAGCAGTATTACCTTCAATTGTGTTATCCTAATTCTTTTCTAAAACTTTCAGTTCTTTACCAACTCATTTTTGAGTCATATCGACATACAAATATATTGAAATTTTAATGAAATAGACGTTAATTTAGGTATAACAGTTAGTTTTAACATCTAAAAAAAAACACTTTATTTGTATATATTGCTTTTGCGAGATGGAATTTTGCATTGATTTGGTAGTAATACACTTTACAAAAACAAAAAAAGAGTAATAATGAGAAACAAATTTTTTTTTAATTTTAAAGGAAATCATTCTGCCTATAACTTAAAAATGGATTTGAAATGGAACAACGTGGAACAACACAACTTTTTCATTATTTTATATAGTCCTTCAACAATTTTAATCATAAAAATTTAGAAACAATAGTTGCAGCTGTTTTATTTTTCACTTAAAAATTTGTTATTTAGTTTTTATTGTTTTATATTTTACTTACTTTCAGAAATCTATTTCATTTTCCTTCATTGCTATTCATTTTCATTTAAACATTTTATTTAATTGACCACACAGTAAATGCTACTTAAACAAAGGTTATGTTGCGACTGCTATAGTGGCGGAAATAAAAGGAAAAAAAATTTTTATAGGATATTTATTATTCCTGATCATATCTTAAATCCAACACAACATAAAAATATAAAAATCTGTAATCTAAAACTTTTTTTGATTTTTGACCAGCTTTTCGGCAATCGACAATCGGCCGCACTGTGCGGTAGTCTTAAATAATGTGAATAGATGCTAAATAACTGCATGACCTAATAATACTCTCCACTCATTCAGCCAACAAAAATTGCGTTAGCTTGATAACATAGTCTCAGACGTAATAGCTCTAGCACTTAGGACAGTCTTCCAACACTGCACTGAAATAAATATCCAATGTTCGAGCGAAAAATTTGCTGACTCGGGACAATACGAAACCGAACAACGAACTGATAAACTCGGTTAATGCATTCTCACTTTTACTGATAAAAAGTGGTTTTTAAACAATTAATAGGCACATTTTAATAGAATACAATTT